GAATATGGTTTGTCATTTTGATTCTATAAATATCTAAATAAAATTTTTGTTAATAGGCAACACAATTTGTACAAAATCCACAAGTTCAAGGATTGTAAAATAATTAGTTTTTCATTACATACAGATTATTATTGATATATTATTTTCATAGAATGACTAATTTGGTAACAAATTTAACTGGACAAGAAGGTGGTCAAGTCGGTTTAGATACTCTATTACAAGCGTAAGACTAAAACAAAGTATTTTAGTATAATAAATTTGACTTTATAGAGGTCAACGTATGGCAAATGAATTATCAACTAATAATCCTAATTTAGTTGAATCTCTTCGACGTAATATGAGTAATCAATCTCAGCCGAATACAAATAATAATTCAACATCAAGTTAGTTACAAAAAAAATTATTTCTTCAAATATTTTGATTTATTTGTTTTCTCTAGATTCTAATAATGAACCAGATCAAAACCGACCATCATCATCTTAAGACATTATTTTATCTTTTTCTTTTTTTAAATAAAATATTGATTACAAAAAACAAGAAGAGTTTCGTTTTATGTTAATTTACCATAATATGCCATTGAAGCAACACCACACATATTTCCCGCATCTTTAATTAAACGTAAATAACCATTTTCACCCCATTTTGTTCCCCAAGAATTTTTTATTATCCAATAAGGTGTTTGGAGGGCATCATCATAACCATAACCTACAATAGTCATAGCATGATCCATATCTTGTCGGCGTTTTGGACAATTATCTATTTGAAGTATACCATTTTTATAAAACATAAAAAGTTCAGAATCAGCATCAAGTCCAATAAATATTGGTCCATAATTAGTAAGTGCTTCAGCCATTTTTTTTTCATCTCCTAAAGGAATCGCTCCAAATTCAACTTTACCAAGATCAATTTCATTAATACCACTTGTTCGACATGATTGTTGTTTTTCTGCATAAGGATAAGAAGCATTTGTAGCTATTTTACCACCTTTTGCTGATAAATAATTAACACTTGGTGGAAAATTACCACCATCACAACCATCATTTCCATCACTTGAACAATCAACTATTTGTTGTGGACTAAAATCAATAACATTTTGAGATTTTGTTTTTATAGCATAAAGTGTTTCCATAACAGCAACCGTAGCAAATGCATAACAAGATCCACATTTACCTTGATTTTTAATACTGCTTACAACATTTTTTGTACGCCAATCAAATACTTTACTTTGTTGATCAGTATTATTCTTATTTTTATCTTTATCTTTATTAAAAAATTTGTCAAACCAATCAATAAGGAATCGTCTATCTTTATATC